AGTGTTATCGCTCTCGTGCATAACAACCATCCATGGCTCCTCAGTGCCCATGGTTTTGCCTGACATTCAAGGCCAGATGGGTCATCTCCTTGCATTCACTTTCTCTCTCTAGCATCCATGCCTTTACTCACCACTTCCACCCACTTAGACTGCCCTTGCCCTACTATATATACTCCATCTATATCGATCTATCTAAACTCCATCTATATCTATCTATCTATACTCCATCTATATCTATCTATCTATCTATCTATCTATCTATCTATCTATCTATCTAATTCAGAGCCCAGCAGAAATTCATCTTCCCTAAACAATATTTTTGAGTATCTATTTAAGTAGAGGGCACTATGCTAGACCCTTGTTGAATTGCAAAGCATAGTGAAATATGGTCCGGAATGCCAGATAGTGGGTGGGGGCAGAAGGTATACCCAAATAAAAAGAGGAAGAATAGGAGGTGCCCTGCTGAAGGTCAAGCCCATGGGGCAGCTGGGAAGTCCTGCAGAAATCTCAAGACGACAGAACGCTCCACTTCGTGCAGTGGTTGCTGATCTTTCAGTATTCTTCCCTAGGCTAGAAATTACCAACGGATTCTAAGGTCCAGCCAAATTGACGTTTTTCCGGGAAGGACAGTTGGAATTGGGAACTGCCCAGCCTCAGTCCACACTGCCAGGCAACCTGGCCAGGCCGGTCAGTCCTCGGCTGGCAACAAAGGCTTCGTTGGCTGGAAGAGGAGAGAGCTACGAAGTGTCCTGCGCTCCAGCCCAGGAATCCCTGGCCACATCCAGGGCCTGTCCTTGAAAAGCTGGGAGAAGAGACCCCAGTAGCCCGACGGCCTTTGCCACATCAGCAGGAAAAGAGGAACATGGGAGGCAAAAGTCACCCAAGCCAGTGGCCCAGTGCCTGGCTTCCTCCAACCAGTGGTGGAGGGCGGAGCCGGAGGCAGAGGGTGGGACCGGAAGCAGGGGCGGGGTCGGGTGGTGGGTGGGGCCGGCAGGGGGCAGGGCGGTGACGGGCCCTGCTTCCCCAGTCCCGCCTCTCAGTCCCGGAAGGAGCGGACCTTGAGCTCCGCGATGCGGGTCTTGGAACTGAGTACCTGCCATCTCCTGCGATTGGGGGTTGAGTCTCTGCAGACGCCTTGGAGGGCAGAAGCAGCCTGAATCTAGGGGTGGGGGAAGGCCTAGCACCCCCTGCATCTCTCCCGTCAACCCTCATCTGCCCTAGTGCCCGCTCCACCTGGAAGCCAGAGGGCATTAAAGCTGTTTCCTTTGTTCTGCGGGCAGAGGACCCTCCCCCCACAATCTGATACCTCTTCCGCCCCCGACTCTCCTCACCTTCATCTTCTTCAAGACTGAACCACCCCCAGGTAGCTCTGTAGGGCCTTTGTACAAACTAGTCCCTATGCGTGGAACATCATTTCCACCCTTCTTCATCTAACTAATTACAACTTATTTTTCAAGCTTGGGTATCTACTTGGGAAAGCCCTCCTTGACCCCCTCCCATCCTGCTATGGGCTCCCCGGCCTGGCCCCCCTAAGCCTAGTCATCTTACATCGCAATTGCTAGACTACCTGTCTATCCTTTGCCTTCTCCCCACCCACCCCAAGACTGTGGGGTCTCTGCAGCATCTCTAGTGCCTGGCCCAGGTATGGTGAGATAATAAACACCCTGCCTGGCAATCCTCTGCCATCCTCTAGACCTCTGCCTGGTGACAAACCCCTACAGTCACTTCACTTCTTAGGGCAGCAGGTCTCAAACTAGAGTGCATCAGAAACACTGGCGGGTGGGAGGAGGGTGTCTTATTAAAATACAGATGGTTGGGCCCCACCCTCAGAGTTTCTGATTCATAGGTGTGGAATAGGGCCTGAGAGTTTGCATTTCTAAAAAGTTCCCAGGTGCTGCTGATGCTGACACAGGAACCCCATTTTAAGAATCACTGTGTTGGGGCATCAGTTTCTTCGTCAATAAAATAGGATAACTTCTGTCCCTGCCATGTGAGGTTTTGTGAGAATCAAATGAGATTATGCAGATGAAGAACTAAGCATGGTGCCTACACCGAGTAGGTGCTCAATAAGTGCAAATGCTACTGGGAGTGGGAGGAACACATGCCAACAGAGAAAACATGAGCAGTAGAGGTAGGTCAGGGCCCAAGCAGGTCAGCTGGGCTGGCAGAAGAGCAAGGCCCAGCACAGTAGCCAGGGAGTCCAGGTTGTGCTATGGAGGCAGATGGGAGCCATGCACGGTTCTGGAGCAGGGCAGTGACAGGAGGAAGCTAAATGTGGCAAAATTGAGCAGGAGGCACAGCAGCAAATTCCCCGTGCTGGGTTTTCCTTGCCTGTTTGGCCAGGCATAGAGCTGCCAGATTTAGCAAATAAAAATGAAGGATATCCAGTTAAATTTGAAGTTCAGATAATGATTTTTTTTTTTTAGTATAATTATGTCCCAAATTGCATGGGACATACTTACACTAAAAAACCTTTTGTTATTTATCTGAACTTCGAATTTAACTGGGTGTCCTTTATTTTCATTTGCTAAATCTGATAATCCACGCCAGATATCAACTGCCTGCCCCAACCCCAAGGCTCCATACTGGAGGGAACCAGCCCCAGGTTCCTCTGGCTCACTTCCCCCCTTTCAATGAGGCCACCAGGAGTGACTGAGGAGCTGCTCCTGGGCCCAGTCTTGCTGCCAGTACAAGTGGTCACAGCTGCAGGCCTGGGTGAGCAGGTCCTCCCACTTCATGCCAGGTTCGCCCAGCAAAGAAATAGTGAAGCACACAGTAAATAATCACTGGGTCTGTAATTTAATGAAGCACCTAAGGTTACCAAGTCCCATAAAGAAGGAGGTGCCACCTGCACTTGTGGGTTACTCAAGAAACAAACAGTTGTCAATGGTATAGGTGCACCTGGTGAGTGTACCCAGAGAGGAGAAAATATCCTCTATCCTTAACCCCAGAAATGATCAACACAAGTGCTCAGCAGTGCTCAGACTGCTTGCATGCTCACAGGACGCCATGGGAATGGTTATATAAACTGCAAGCTAGAACAGGGGGGTCCCTACCTCCTTCAGCTCAGTTGGGCATTGGGATAAATCATGGTACCAGAGGCTGCCTCTCTCTCCCCCAGCCCCATAATCACCAGATCCCAGATGATTCATAATTCCGGAAACAAGCCTGTCGGAAATCCAATTTCTGCAACAACCTTTATATCAACTTTCTTTCCTCTAATGAGGAACAATGAAAACAATATGTGCTCCATTTTTTTTTTTAAAAAATGTGATAAACATTACTGAATTCCTAGTGTGTGCCCTGTGCTGTGTTCAGCTTATTTAGCTCAGTAGTTCTCAGCCTTGGGTGCACATTGCAAACACCTGCAGATTTTCCAGGTGATCCTAGTACCCCAGGTATCAGTATTTTCCCCAGGGCATGGTGATTTCAACACACAGCCAAGGCTGAGAACCATTGATGTAGTTCATCCTGCTTCATCCTCACAATATGATCTTGCAAGGTAGGTGTTACCTCTGTTTTGCAGATGAGGAAATTGAGTTTCAAAGAGGTACAGTGACTGCAGCTTGTGTAGCCATAATCTTGGACCTCTGTTTTCCTCCCAGGCTCCCTTGAGGGATTCCTATGTTTCCACGGTTAAATATCATGGGTATATATATAATGCTTCCACAGATATGTTCGCAGCCTTGCTGCCCTCCGGGCCACCTTGAGATAGCTCTGCTCCCAGCAGGGCTCTTCCGAGACACCAGCCAGACTTGGCCTGGGTTTGGAATTGACACTAAATGACTTTTGCTATAGTGAGGACCACTGAGGCGGGTCACTCCACCCAGGTCCTGGCATCTAGGGTCATAGAAAGACGGTGGCCACCTCCCATTCCCCACCACCCAGGACCCTCTAAGCCTGGGTCTTTACAGTTGTGTCCCACCACCACCCCCAAGCTTTTCCTCGGTGCCCTCCTCCTTCACAGCAAACCCCCTCACCTCCTGATTCTTCTCAGCTCATCTTCTTTGCAGGAGCCGTACATCCACACAGGTTGTGAGAGAGGTCTCTGATCCAGGACAGGCCGCGAGCCACAGATCCGAAGGGAAAAGCCTTGCGCTAGCCCGACTCCTCGCCCGGGGCTCGCGGGCCCACCGATTCTTCAGACGTGGACGCACCTTGGCTCACCTGTCCCCTCCCGCGGCGCCTGCTGGCCGAGAGGACGGTCAGCTGGGCCAAAAGGCTGGTCGCCGCCTGCCCTCTGCTGGCCGGTGGCAGTATTGAGCCCGCTGCCGCTCCACCGGAGCGTCAGAGGGATGGAATGAAGGAGCGGGCATTTATCGAGCTCCTGCTGTATGTCAGGCACTGAACTGGGAGCTGGGGGTGTAAGGATGAACGCGACCTGCTTTCACAAAGTTCAGCTTCAAGTGAGGAGACAGACAATAATCAAATAGTCGTTCAAGCAAATATGAAATTACAACTGTGGGCTATATGAGCGTATAACGCGAGGCTCCTGTCCTGTATACGGGGTGTAATGGGGGGCGAGGGGAACGGTCAGGGAAAGCTGCCCCTCAGGAGGGGACGTGTGAGCGCCAGGTGCCCCACAAAGTCATTCCATGTAATCCTGAAAATCCTACAAGGTGGCTATCCCCTTTGCCAAAGCAGGAAACAGGCTCAGGTTGGGGAAAACCTACCCAAGGTCACATAGCGAACTGGAAGCAAAGCCAGCAGGGCCTAAATCGGCCCAATTCGAAAATCCCCACTTCTCCGCTGCTCCTGGCTGTGGTGTAGGTGGCAGGCCACCCGGACGTCCCATCTAGCCGCTCTAGGGCGCCGGGCGGGGCCGGGGTGGAGCCTGCGCGGGGCGGGGCCTCAACTCCGGCCCCGCCCAGCCTCTATAGGTGAAAGGGCGCCCTTGGGCGTGGGGACTGGGCGGAGGCGGGGTCTTTTGGGGGGGTGGAGCCTGGGCGGATTGGGGCTTGCAGACACCCGCCAGGCTCAAGGGGCGGAGCCGGGATCTCACCCGGTCCTAGAGGAGACGGAAGCTCCAACTGAGTGTGGGGCGGAGGACACTTACCGCTGACCCCGTGCACTCAGGCGGCGGCTCCGGATCCCGGAGGTCCAGTGGGCAGCTCCCCAGGTAGGGCCTAACCCCGGCCTGAGAAGAGGTACCCCTTCCCCAGCCCTGCCCTGCCTATCTGTCCTGCCATCTGACCCACGTTTCTTCCTGTCCGCGGGCCTGGGTCCATTTCTGGACATCAGAAGGTAGCTCATGAGTGGAGCTGCCGGTCTCACTTCGTCCCCCTCCCTGGCCCAGCCGCTGCGGGACCCCAGACATCCAGAATATGGGATCAGGAGATAAGATGCCAAAACCTCTCGGGGGTGGCTGGCCCAGCTTCACCCCAGGCCTTTGGGAGGTCACCCACCCTCTCTGGTACTGAGCGTCCTGTCTTGCAAAACAGGGTCTGACCCTTGCTCACCCTGCGGAGATGGGGTGAGACCCAGTAGCTGTGACGGGTGCTGGGGAGCCAGGGGTGGAGCTTTCTCCCTTCCAGGGCTATAGGAATGCTTATCCTCCTGCTGCTTCTGGTCCTGCTGTACCTTCACCCTTCCCCAGATCTGGGAGCCCAGAAAGGCGGAACCTCAGACCCTGGGGTAGAGCTGTGTGCTGGCCTGGGAGGCCTGTGGGTGTTCCAAAGTGGGCCCTGAGGCTTGGGCACCCTGTGAGGCCTGCCTGGAGTCTACCTGCTCACTTTGCAAAAAGCGGGCCACCATGGTGTAAGAGGGCCTGGAATGATATGGAAAGAAGTCTAACCTCTCAACGGTGGACAGAGACAGTGCATTGCAGTCTGACCTGTAGTGCCCTCAGGACCAGCCTAGGGTGACTGAGGCTGTCATGATGCCCCAAAAGATGCTGCTGTTGATAGGTGACACCTATGGGCATTTACTGTGTACTAGTGCTTTCCGTGAGTTATCCCATTAATTACTCACACATCCCCTATCCCCATTTCAGAGGCTGAAACCGAAGCTTAGAGAGATGAAGTGACTTGCCCAAGGTGTCAGGGAGGGAATTAGAACCCAGATAGTCTAGGGGCGCCTGAGTGGCTCAGTGGTCCTGGGATCGAGTCCTGCATCGGGCTCCCTGCTCGGCGGGAAGCCTGCTTCTCCCCCTCCCGCTCCCCCTGCTTGTGTTCCCTCTCTCGCTGTCTCTCTCTGTCAAATAAATAAATAAAACCTTAAAAAAAAAAAAAAGAACCCAGATAGTCTAGTATCTTACAGTGTCCTGTTGCCACCCAGGATCTGGGCATCCGGTAGCAACGCCTTGACCTAGGACAGCAGGAGGAGAACGAAATGGGGGGATAGGATTCAAAGGGCTCAGGAGGGAGGGATGCCCATGAATCCTGAGAGGAATTCAGCTGATCTGGGTCCCTGGGGGAGAGATGAAGTGTTTGAGTTTAGACATGTTAGTTTGGGGTGAAGGGTGGTATAAGGGAGCCAAGCAGAGGTCTTGCAGAAGACCAAGAAGGCAGAGCTGGGTCCTGGGGGAGAGCAGATGCCTTCAGAGATGGGTGCAGACAGAAGAGGGGATCCCAGGGCTTAGCTCATTGGAGTCCCCCCAAATGCTGAGTGGGCAGATGTGGGGGGCATCCACTCGTAGTGTGGGGGCTCCCAGGGGGAGGAATGAATTCTAGGCTGAGGAGGGTTTGAATAATGGGGGCCTTATTTCATAAAGGCGAAACTGAGGCTAGCACATTACTTGCCTGAGGATGCCCCAAGGCTGGAGCAGAGTAGGACCCCATGCCCCCCAGAGATGGTGCCGTCTCTGCCATTCAGCTCTACTACCTCATTGGCTCTCTACGAAGAGCCGTTTTGTTCCCCGGGGGACATCTGACAATGTTTGGAGACAATTTGGTTGTCACACTGGAGGGGGTGTAATACTGGTATCAGTGGGTAGACACCAGGAATGCTGCTAAACATCCTACGATACCCCCGAAGCAAAGGATTATCTAGCCCCAAACGGCAATGATGCTGAAGTTGAGAAAATCTGTACTAGGTCAAGCCGAGCCGGTCACTACCCAGCCCAGCTCTTTCATCCTCAGCGGGGCAGATAACTCAGGTCTGAGCCTCCACCTGGGCAGACCTTTGCCCCCACTCCCGGTCTGCCCCTCCCATGCTTCCTCCTTTATTCCTGGAAGCTTCTGGAGTCTTCTCTGCTTTTCCTGAGCACAGTGATCTAGAGACCTGCCCATCACGTGTCTGACCTTTATTCACAGAATTTGGCGTAGGAAGGAACCAAAGTGGAAATTTTCACCTAGCGCATAGTGGGTGCTTTGCAGATAAACTGTATATTATATTTGAATGCCATTATCAGGGTCCAGAAAGCTTCATTTTATCCCGTTTTCATTTTAGCAATTCCAGTTGTACCTTATGTTTCTGAAGTTCTAGGTTTCTAATGAGCTCCCAGGTGATGCTGACACTGCTGGGCCACATTTTGAGTGGCAAGGGTTGTGCAGAGGTGGGCTGGGGCGGCTGCCCTCCCTGCAGACAACTGTCGGGTGGTTTGGGGACTGTGGGGTGGCAGGAACCATGACATGGGGTCAGGAAACCGGGATACGAGTCATCACTCTCCCCACCCTGCCCCATCTATGGCCTATGGATGTCACTTAACTTCTTTGAGGAGTGGTCTTGCATGGCAGTTGGTCCTCCAGGTGTTCTGATGCGGGGTCTGCGAGGTGGGAGTGCCATGCAGAGATGGAATGGCCTGGCTCCTGGCAGCCAGAGGGGCAGCAGGCCATTGGCCCGGCCAGCAGGGAAGGGACCACGAGCTGCTGTTGGTGGGGCGGGCACCGTGCCAGCATGGAAGCAGCTCTCGTTACGGCCCTGGCTCTTCCCCACGGCTGCCACAGCCTTCTGCTTCTGGCTTACCTAGCTCTGCCTGGTGTGGGAAAGCTGGAGAGACCGGTCTGGCTGGGGGAAGGAGGGGCAGCTTTGATGGGGCAGGGGACAGCCTAAGGCCTGAATGTGGGTCTCCAGGCCTGGCCAGCTGAGCCAGGGTCTCAGAAGTGGGGGTCAGGCCTGAGAACTATGGCCTGGAGACACTGGGGTCAGGTGATGGATCTTGGATAGGATTCCCACCTGTTCCAGGGAAACTGGGAAGGAGTTTGATATTTGGGGCCATAAACTGGGAGGTCATTTTACCCCCAGCTATAGGAGATGCTTTCCCTCAAGTATCTGACCCCAGAAACAGAGCTGGGCAGAGCCTTAGGTACCTGAGGTACCCCACCCCTGGTTCTCCACAGATCAGCCACGATGGCGCAGCAAGGCCCCTTCCAACTCCTAAGACTAGGAAGCAGCAAGACAGATGAACCCATTTCTCAGATGGAAGAACTGAGACTCTCTCCTCCCTACTTACTGGGAAGAGATCAGCCTTTAGGGCTGTCACCCATTACCCAGCCAGACCCTGGGCCTAATATATCATGAGGCTGCCGCCCGTTGCATCAGGGAGGGGTGCTGACCTGCCCCTGTCCCCGCAGTCGGGCCCGCCCAGTGGTTCACACTGAGGGGTCTGCAGCCACACAGGCCTGGGTCTGGGACCTGGCTCCTCTCCTTACTAGTCGTGGTCCTGGGCAAATCACTGAGCCTCAGCAAGCTTGTCTGTAAACAGCAATAATGACACCCGCTCGGCCAGCCTCACAGGTTGTTGCAAAGATGGAATGAGCCCTGCCACCGAACACCATGGTCATTATCATTACTCACAGCATTTAGAGATGCAGGGCACCCCAGATCACCTCACCCGGTGCTCTCATTTGACAGATGCAGAGATCGGCACTTGGAGAAGGAAGGCAGGTGTCCAGGAGCCCCATAGCAGGTCGGTGGGCGAGCCGGGGCTAGGACCCACACCTGCAGGCACACCGCCCATCCCTCCGGTCTGCGCAGGTGCTCCGAGGGCAACACACCGTAAGTCTGGGGAGACCTTTGCCCCCCACTCCTGGTCTGCCGCTCCCATGCTTGGGGTCCTGGGGGTCCTGGAGCCCGGGCTGCAGAGCCTCCCCACTGAGGGAGGTGGACCCTGCCTTTGTTCCAGCACCTCCTCCCTTTGCCAGCACCAGCTATGAACTACGTGGGGCAACTGGCAGGGACGGTGTTGGGGACGATGAAGGACATATACCGAGGCCTGAACCCGGCCACGCTGAGTGGTGGCATTGACGTGCTGGTGGTGAAGCAGGTGGACGGCTCCTTCCGATGCTCGCCCTTCCATGTGCGCTTCGGCAAGCTCGGCGTCCTGCGGTCTCGGGAGAAGGTGGTGAGCGCTGGCCAGCCAGGGGCCACGGCAGGGTGGGCTCTTAAGGCCAGGGCAGCCCCTGCAGTCCCAGGAGACGGCCTAGACCTCCCTCAGGTGGTGATCTGTGCTCTGGACAAGCGTCTGTTCTTTTGCATTTACTTTGACAGTTTGGGGTTGGTTTGGGGCTTTGGGTCCCAGAGGGTTCCCATTTTCCCATGGGAGCCGCACAGTGGGGCTGTCCCTGGTACCTGGGCTGTCCGACCTGGCTCCAGCTTACTAAGACCTCACCTGTACGTTCTTGGTAAGTCTCCCCACCTGGGCGGATGGATGCACACTCTCATCTACCTGGTGCCGGAGGGGTGATGTGGGAGAATGAGGTAGGAGCTGATAACACCGTCCCAGGGCCAGGTATGTGGGTGGCACTCAAAAGGTCAGCTTGTCTCCCTTCAGAAAGTTGTGCTGTCTTCTCTGGGCCCAGGCGAACGTGACAGCTTTTTTTTAGTGCCGAGGTCTGGAGTATGAAAAGAGGTTTGGTGAGTCCAAATCCTCTTCCTATGGGGCCCCTGGGAATGTGCCAGAATCCTAACAGGAAACTGTCAGTTTGTGGGGGACTGTATAGCGAGGCGGTAAAGAGCTGGGGCAGACTTCGTGGCTCACAGCCGCACTTGGCCACCTCCCAGTATGTTACTTAACACCTCTGGGGTCTCGGTTTCCTCGTCTATAAGGTAGGGGTAGGGATAGGAGCTATGGCACAGTGTTGCTGGGAGGTTAAAGGGGAGAATCCAGATAAAACTCTCCATCAGTGCCTAGAAAGTGGTCCTTCATACCGTTGTTCATGTAGTCAGTAAGCACTCTGGGGGTTGGGGACACAGCGGCGACAAGATGGGTCATGTCTTGTTCTGATGGGATGTGGCAGAAAGAACAGAAATCAAGGCAGACAAGAATCCTGAGACAGTGGTGTGTGCAAGAAAGTCCAGAGAATAGGAAAATGGGGGGCGGGGGGGTGGCGACCTCATCGCAGCCTCTCTGCAAAGGGCAGTCCGAGCAGAGGCCCTTGGGGTGGGGAGCAGCCGGGCACACCAGGGGCTGGGGGGTAGGAGTTCCAGCAAGCGCAGTGCTCCAGAGGGGCAGGGGGGCCAGTAGAACAGAGTGTGGGGGTGAGGGACAATGGTGGGGACTGTACACCACGATGCCCCTTTACAGGTCGACATCGAGATCAACGGGGAGCCTGTGGACTTGCACATGAAGCTGGGGGACAGCGGGGAGGCCTTCTTCATCCAGGAGCTGGAGAGCGATGATGTAAGTGCCTTGCGGCACCTGCCGCCTCTGGGCCGGACCTTGCGCCCTGTCACTGACCTGCCCCTGGGAACCACCCTAGCAGCAAGTCTGATGGGGGCGGGGGGATCAGCTAGGGCTGGCACTCCCAGCATGCTGTTGGAGCCTGAGCAGAATTGGGATGGGGGCAGCAAGAGCTGATTTCCTTCCTGGGGAAAGCTGGGGAAGGTTTCTCAGAAGAGGACACTGGAGCTGGGCCCCTGGAGGGTGAAAAGGAGGCCTTCCCTGGGCGGCCTGAAAAGGAGGAGGGTGCTGTCGCATGGCTGGGAGGGGGCTGGCAAGCGTGAGATGGATTGTTCTGGATCTGGTGCTGGCTCGGTGCAGTTAGAGCATGGAAGGATGGGGGGGAGGGACGAGGAGAGGGGTGTTTCAGAAGGGAGGCAGAGCCCAGCACAAGCCAGCAGGAGGTGTTCCAACAGTCTGAGCTTCACAAACTTTAAATAAGCCCCTACTGTATGCCCGACACTGCAGTGGACTCGGGTGACGGGTCACCCCTGCCTGCAAAGAGGGCTCCCAGACCAGCCTGGGAGCCAGACATATACACAACAGATGATGGAACTATATGGTCATGGCAGTGGAGGGGGTTGGAACTGGGGCTGGGGTTAGTCAGGGCAAGCTTCCTGGAGGAGGTGATGTCTGGCTGAGTCTTAAAGGGAAAGCAGGTGTGGGCAGAGGAGGAAATGAGTAGCCAAGGTTCAGGGTTCTACCTGGACAGGGTGGTTCGTGTGGCACCCAGGCCCAGTTGTGAGGCCTTGCTGCTGCTGCCTTGGACCAGCCTCTGTGCCTGTTTTCCTGAGCCCGAATGAGCTCACACCCAGGCCCTGGGACTCAGGCAGGGCTCAGAACGACTGGGTGGCGAGGGTGGCCCCCCAGGCTCTAGCCCCTGGTCTGTCTCACAGGAACACGTACCTCCGTGTCTGTGCACATCGCCCATCCCTTGTGGGGACCTGTCTGGGCTCCCCTCAGACTCCCAGGTGAGCACAGCCAGTGAGCCCGAGGCCATCTCTGATGGGATGCCCTCCACTGGGCGGAAGAAGAGGCTTCGCAGGAGGAAGCCCAGGCGGAAGGAGGGCACGGTGGCAGCCAATTCTAGTTCGGAGGAGCTGGAGACGGGCGCTGACAGTGAGCTGTCCCTGCTGGAAAAGCCAAGGCCAGAGCCCCCAGGGTGTGTGTGGACCAGGTGGGGGCCTACGGGTGTGGGGATACCACCCAGGGTTCAAGCACCGTTTCCTCTGCTGATGCTCTGTGACCCTGGACAAGGGCCGTGACTTCTCCGGGCTTCACCTCCCCGAGCCCCTGACACCCAGGCCCCCATGCGCTACCTGGGGTGCCCGGTCCTGTCGGTGACCATTTATTTCCCTGCAGCCCCCTCAGCAGCGTCCGGTCAGAAGGGGAGTCCTTACCGCAAGCCAGAGACATCTACCCCTACTCTGATGGCGAGTGGGGCCCCCAGTCCAGGTGAGAGTCTAGGTGGCCTGCAGGCAGGGACCCAAGGCCAAGGTCTCAGAGTATTTTGTATTTATATCTTCCTGATGAATAATGACATAGAACACATTTAGTATGTTTACCAGCCAGTTCTACATCTCCCGTGCCAAGTGTTTATTTTAGGTCTTTGCCCATTTTTTTTTTTTTTTTTTTTTTTACTAGCTTGCCTCATTATTGTCGGTTTGTAGGAGTCTTCCGTATATTTATACATTCTGGATCCAACAGAGGCATGAATATGTATGATAAATACTTTTTTCCGCAGGCTGGGGTGGGCAGTGGTGGGCGACAGGCTGGCTTGAGGACCTCTAAGTTCTTGCTTCCTGCAGCCTCCCGCTGGGGGGGCTCACGTCCCCGAAGAGTGACTCAGAGCTGGAGCTGCGGACCCCCGAGCCCAGCCCCCCACGAGCTGAATCCCACATACAGTGGGCCTGGGGGAGGCTGCCGAAGGTGAGTGCCTCCATGTCAGCCTCCCATCCCTGCCTTTTAGGGGCTCGGTGGTCCCCTGCGGGTCAGAAGTGCAGTGACTGAGACTTGGACCCCCAAGGCCTTGTGGGGTGTGGGAGGCAGGCCCTGCGCTGGTTCACATCCCCTCCCCCACCCCATTTGTTTGACCGAAGGTGGCCAAAGCAGAGTGGCCTGAGTCCTCGAAGGTCGCTGATGGCAGGGCTGGGTCAGCCTGTCCTCTTCGGGGAGAGCCCAGCACCCCCTCCGCTTCTGTGGCTGGTGCGGACCCTTTGGGACCCCTAATCCTGCAAGCAGGGGCTGGTACCGACCTTCCTCCTACTGACGTGGAGCCTCCCGCTTTGGTGGGCTCCCCTCTCCCCACTCCTGAGAGAAAGGAGACCACGCCTCAGAGCCGCAGGGATGCAGGCCTGCCTCTTCCCTCGAAATCCTGGAGCTGGGCCACCCTGGAGGTCCCAGTGGCCACCAGGCAACCAGAGGGGGGCCCTGGGAGGAAAGGTGAGTGATGGTTGGCCCTCTCCCAGGGTTTTCCCTGGCCTCACATAAACCTCCTGGGTGGACTCTGGTACTTCAAACGTGTTTTGAGCACCTACTGTGTGCCTGGCACTGTGCTTGGCTCCAGCCCTCATGGGCTTGCAGTGAGGGAACTAGATGAAGCATGCATAAGCAGAGAAGAGCGTGTCGTGCGTGACACAGGAGAGAATCATCGGTGGGCACAGAGGCTATTTAAATCATGTGGTCGGGGAAGGCCTCTCCGAGTGGGGGATGCGTGAGCTGAGACCCGAACGATAAAGACCCAGCCAAGTGAGGATCAAGGGAAGAGAATTCTGGGCAGAGGGAAGAGCATGTGTCAAGGCCATGAAGTGGGAGAGAGGTTGCATGTCTAGGAAGGGAGGCAGCTGGTGTGTCTTGAGCAAGGCAGGGTTGTGGGGAGGAAGCCAGCAAGATGAGCAGATGCTGGATCATTCCTGGTGCAGGAGCTGGGGTTTATCCTAAGAGTGTGGGAAGCTACTAGGACTCACTGTCCAAATCAGTAGTTGCTGGCTATATATGGCTATGTAAAATGTAGTTAAAATTATTTGAAATTAAATAACATATACAATTCTGTGTCTCCATCATGCCACATTTTCAGTGCATGGATAGTGACGTCTGGCTAGCGGTATTGGGTGGGCAGGCAGGCAGGGGACATTTCTACCATCCCCAAAAGTTCTACCAGATAGCGCTGCTTTAGTGTGTTCAAAGACAAGGGGACACCTCCTGCTCATGCTACTAAGCACATGTTAGGACTAGAGGTGTCCCCTTTGCCCTCAGGCTCCCTGAAGAGAAGCCAGCATCTGGGCCCCAGTGACATCTATCTGGACGACTTGCCCTCTCTGGATTCTGAGAATGCAGCCCTTTACTTCCCCCAGAGGTGCCTGGGTGCTGGGTGCCAGGGTGTCTTGGGATGGGGGTTCTTGGGGCCAGGGGTTGGCTACCAAGGGCCTGAGAGTGTAGGCCCTCCTCTCCCCAGCCTCTTTGTAGTCACATCACTGTTGGCCCCTCTGCCTCCAGTGACTGTGGACTGGGGCCCAGAAGGTGGAGTGAACCCAACAGCCAGAAGCCCCTGGGAGACCCCAACCCTGAACAGGAACCAGAACCCACTCTGGACATGGTGGATATGATAGAGCTGTCCCTCTGTGGCGGACTCGCTGAGAGCCGGGACATCTCCCTGGGTATGTCTGACCAAGGCCTGAGCCCTTCCAAGGATTGGCACTGAGCCCAGGGACCTGGGGAGGGCAGGGAGGCCCCCAGAGTTGGGGGGCAGGCAGCAGAGGTGTGAGGCTAGACTGGGTGCCCTTGCTGTTCTCTGCTCTGTGGAGCCCCATGCAGCCAGCGAGGGCAGGGCATTCTCAAGGCCCTGCGAAGCAGATACTTAATGCTAAGCTGTGACTTACCCTGTGAATCCAGGATGGCAAGTGCCAAAAGTAGAACTTTTGGGGATGGTGGGCACAGCAGGTGCAAATACCACAGGTAGGGAGGAGCCCTGCTGGGTCCCAGACCCAACCTGCAGGAGGCCTGAGTGGTAGAGTGGGGGGGGGCGGGTGGGATCCGGGAGGGGCTGGGGCAGCAGGTCACATCGGACATGTCAGCCTCACTCCTTACTCTCTGCCTCTGTGCCCAGAGAAGTTCAACCAGCACATCGTCTCCTACCAGGACCTAGTCCAAAACCCTGGCCTCCTTGAGCACCCAAACCTGGTGGTGAAGATCAATGAGAAGTGAGTACCAAGCCTGAGCCGCTGGCAGCCCCAGAGTGGCCCTGCCCTCCACCGCCCCATGGCTACTGCAGTCCCGACTCCCCGTTCTGTCTCTCCAGGCATTATAACTGGGCTGTGGCTGCCCCCATGATCCTCTCCCTGCAAGCCTTCCAGAGAAACTTGCCCAAGGTAATGGTTAGAGCACCACCGGGCCTGCAGAGGAAAGTGGGCCCAGCCGTGGGGCCCTTGGCCAAGAAGCGGAGAGTGGGCAGAGATGGGCCTGGGGCTGACCAGCTGCGAGACCCACCGTGAGAGGAGCAACTGAGGGCCCCTGGAGCCTCGCTCCGTGCTGCGCCGACAAAGCCCCATCCCGCCCTGGCTTCCTGGCCCGGCTGAATCCCATGAGGGTTGGACTTGACTTCGAAGGAGTTCAGGGCACACGGGGGGAGGATAATAACCTTCCACAGGAGGCTTTTAGATCTGAGAGACGAGGCTTGGGAGACAGAGGCCCCACTCCTTATCTTACCCCGAGCAGCGCTCCGGGCTGAGCTGTAGCATTGCTTGCTTTATTGGCCTGCATTTGTTGAGTACCTACTGTGTGCCAGGCACAGGCTGTCCTGTCCTGACAGTCATGCTCTCCTAGAAAGACAGTTAATCATAAGACTCAGCCGGATGAATATAAAATTCAACTGTGAGTATTGGGAAGGAGAGGCTGGGTGCTTTGAGAGGCTAAAACGGGGGTTTGCTGAGCACATGCCCCCTGGGCAGAGATCTGAAGAACGAATAATCCGTAAGCAGATGAGGGGCAGGGAACAGCATGTGCTGACGCTCAGAGGTGGGAAGGAACCGAGTCTTTTCAGTCCTTCCCACAACTTCTACCCTCACCGACCTGCACCTGCCCCCCCGCCCCACCCACCGCCACTGGCTCCCCTGCCCCGATCTGGCCCATTGTTCTTGGATTGATTAGACTTGCCCAAGAACATCACCATCCAGATTTTGACAGCTGACGCCTCCCTTTGGTGACACTCGGCTCTATCCTCTGGCTGGCTCTGGGTCTGAGCTAGAACCAGAGCCTGTGGGAAGGAGGAGGGTTACTCTCCTGCTTGGCTCTCCTCACTTTCCCCAGACAGGTCCACCACCTGAGGCCCCTGGGAGATTCCCCCAGCCTGTTTCCAGCTCAAGGGGGTACCCTGGCTGTCCCACTTCCAGGTCATGTCCTCCTGACTTGGGTCCACCATTCTGTCTGTAGGACGCTCATATGTCTCCTGGGTGGGCCTTGGCCTAGGCTCTCCGGGGCTCCCCCTGGGAATACCTAGCACGAATCTAATCAGCATCTTCCCAAGGTCATGTTGCCCCCACCAGACAGCAGTGGTAACGCACAGAGAGGGAAGCCATGCATGGGATAGAGTCATTGACCTTTGGGGTTGCCTGTGTTGGTCTTGGATGTTGAAGGGAGTACTGGCTATAGACTGTTCTTCCTGCTGTCACTTGGTGGCATCACGCAGAGAGTACTAGATCCTGAGAAAGTCCCAAAACACTGCCTTCAGCTACTTTAGTAGGATCTGGAGGCCAGGCCGAGGCTGGGCGAGAGCTAGGGGGTCAAGGCTGGGGTAGGGTGGGGATTGGCAGGAATAGCCCTTGATCTCCTGTGCTTAGCTCCATGAGTCATTGCTTGGAGTCCCAGCATGGAGGTGAGTATGCTTCCTCAGCCTCCAGACGTTAATAGCACCTTGCTCTAGGGTCAACCCCAGACTCTGGGTTCATGGGGGCGATGAAAGGTAGGTTTTTGTGGTGCAGGGAAAAATGCCATGGCCTTTATCTGCCCACAGAGCACCGTGGACAAACTGGAAAAGGAGAAGATGCCCAGGAAGGGTGGACGGTGGTGGTTTTCCTGGCGACGCCGGGACTTCCCCGCCGGGGAGGTGAGTGGTCACGGTCAAAGGGCGTGGTCAGCACAGGCAGGAGGCGGGGCTCACTGAATGTATGTTCTTCCCACAGAGCAGTGTCCAGACTGAGAAAACCACAGCCCGGGAGCAGCAGGGGTGAGCTGGACCTCATGGCTGGAGCTCTGCAGCTGGAGCCAAGCCTCGGGGAGATCCCTGTGGGGGCAGGGGTGACGCCAGCACCTCTCCCCCAGCTATGGTTCTTTGTCGCTACCCAATCACTTCTACACCCTTTCTTTTTCTTGAGAAATGTCCCCATTTCACAGATGGGAAAACTGAGGCCTAGAGCGACACCAAAAGTCCGAGAGCTGGGAACTGGCAGAGCTGGACCGGGTGCCCAGACTCCTGACCCAGACAAGGGACTACTGTCTTAAGGAGGGGCAGGGCCTCCCCTCTTTGCCAGGGGCAGGCTGACCTTGCCTTTTTCATCTCTCAAGTGACCAGAACACTCAGGCTTGGGTGGGGGATGACCAAGGGCAGGTCAGCTGAAGCCAAAGCAGGTGGGATTGGTGATAAGCCCTAAGATGCACCCCTAGGTTTTACAGATAAACATCTCCAAGGCTACCTTGGCTAGGCGCTGAGGGTCAGGAGCCCTGGGTCTCCCTGCTCCAGCTCTGCTGGCCCCTTTCTGGGTGCATACTGCTGGGCTGCATCCTTATGTCTGCACCGCTCTCCAAATGGGTGGCACCATGGTGGGGTTTCTGATCCTCTGGAGGAACAAGGACAAGCCCCAGGTTCCTTGTGGCCTGGGCTGAGGGGTGAACATCTATGGGGAATGTAGGGCCTTGGCTGGGGAGAGTGGCCTGAGAGCCGGGCTGCCTGCAGGGAGAAGACTGATGTCCTGAGTAGTGAAGATGATGCCCCAGAGAGCCCTGTGATCCTGGATGCCTCCTCTCTGCCACCCTTGACTCCCGCCTACAAGAAGTCCCTCCGCCTCTCCTCTAATCAGATAGTGAGTGTTCAGGGTGGGGGGCTGGGGCTGAGATAATTTGGCTCCGTGGAGCCTTGAGTTTACCAGAGCCCAGAATCCATCCCCTCGGCAGCCTCCCTAACAGCCTCTGCGTGAAAACCTCCAGGGTCAGGGGCTTGCTTCTTTATGCACCAGCCCATTTCTTTGCTGGATGCTCTTATGGGAAAAGTCTTCCCTATGTTGTCTTAAAGTATTCTACCTGCAGTGGGTTGCCGGCTCTGGATCGGCTCTTGGAGGCCACTCTGAAGGAATCAAAAGCTGATGACAGCCCCTCAGATATTGGCCGTCCCTGCCCCCAAGCCCTGTCTTTGAGCTTAGTCACTGGCCCCCCAGTGGGGCTCTGTCAGGGCGGTGCCCAGGGCGGGCAGCTACCATCTGAATGGTACCCCAGTGTGACACCCACTTTGGGGTCAGCCAGGGCCCAATAGCCTTGGTCACTGGCTGTGGTGGAGAGCTGCCCTGATTCTTCTCTATGGACCAAGGACAGGGCTAGGTGTCTCTTTGGTTGGATGGCACGAGTACCCTAGCCCCAGGCAGGAGGCTACCTGTGAGGATCTCTATGGAGTGGGGTGTCTCCCTGCCAGGAGCAGTGCCAGCCTTAGGGCTGACCTGAGAAATCCGGGTGGCCAGGCTTTGCCTGTGAGCTTCACCCCAACCGGGGCAGAAAGGGAGGTTAGGGCTCCTGTGTCTGGGCCCGTGTGGGCCCCGACCAGCACCCTGCACTCCCTCACTCCCCGAGGTCGCCCTCTACCTGTACGGATGTGTCTGCGTGTGGCTGTCTCTGATGAATTCAGGCAGGTTCTCTGAGTTGGGAGGCAGAGGGGAATGAGAGGCCCATGGAGATCACAGCTTCCCCCACCTTTGCCCGGCCCCAGCGGCGCCTGAACCTGCAAGAAGGTGCCAATGACGTGGTCTTCAGTGTGACCACCCAGTACCAGGGCACCTGCCGCTGCAGGGCCACCATCTATCTGTGGAAGTGGGACGACAAGGTGGTCATCTCGGACATCGACGGGACCATTACCAAGTGAGGCCTGGTTGGCCAGGGGAGAGAGGGAGGGCCTGGGACTGGCCTCCTCTGTGCTGGGGGAAGGGGGGGTGTCAAGAAAGGCCCCCCTCCTCCCCCCCGGTGCACTGTCCTGGGGCCTGGGGGTGGTGGGACGTGAGGGCTACATGGGGCTGCCTCAGAGTGACCCCCCTTCTGTGGCTGTAGGTCGGACGCTCTGGGCCATATTCTGCCCCAGCTGGGGAAAGACTGGACACACCAGGGCATCACCAGTCTCTACCACAAAATCCACCTGTGAGTGCCTGGGCTGGGGCAGGGCCCCAGGGAGGGAATGACAGGATGTCTGAGGCCACCACAGCCCTTGCCCCTGGAAGCCAGGCTTGGGGACCCATGAGGGAAGAAACCCCGGGCATGTCCCTGGATGGTCCTCTGTTCTCCCATGAAACACTTGTCCCCTGTCATCTGGCCTCTGAGTCTAACCGCTGGTCTTCATGCTGCAGGAGAGGCCTACAGACCTGCTCAAACCTTTGTCCGTGCTGGTCCGCCTGGGCCTCAGGACACTGTCCGTGCCCCTCCTCCCTGGGACAGCTACGGCGGGCACCTCTCCCTGATGTTCTCCCTAAGTCCCCTCCCTGCAAAGGCCTCTGGGTTTGAAGGCCAGAGCCCCGGGCTTGGGCTGAGCTGGCTGAAGCCAAGGAATGGCTAGTCTCTGATGGCTCTGGGCCACTCCTATCCCCCACCTCCAGAAACGGGTACAAGTTCCTGTACTGCTCGGCACGGGCCATTGGCATGGCTGACCTCACCAAGAACTACCTACAGTGGGTGAGCGAGCGGGGCTGCAGCCTCCCCAAGGGCCCCATCCTGCTCTCTCCCAGCAGCCTCTTCTCTGCCCTCCACAGGTAACCACCCCTACGAGATACAAGCCCAGGGGTCCTTGCAGGGAGTGACAGGCTCGCTGCAGGCTCAGGCCAGGCCAGCATCCGCCCTTGCTTGGGTGTCAGTTGAGTCCCACCCCGTGTCACCTGACCCTGCCGTCCTCTGATGGCTGCCCCTCCTCGGTTCCTTCTCCTGCCCATGGCCCCGGCTGCCCCAGGGAGGTGATTGAGAAGAAACCAGAGGTGTTCAAAATTGCCTGCCTGAGTGACATCCGGCAACTGTTCCTGCCCAACGAACAGCCCTTCTATGCTGCCTTTGGGAACAGGCCCAACGTGAGTGTGTCCCCTCCCCACGGGCCGGGCCACCTCCTCCCTGTCTCCCAGCCCATTAGCCCCTCCTTGTCTCCCATAGGATGTCACTGCCTACCAGCAGGTGGGCCTCCCTGAATCTCGAATCTTCACAGTCAACCCCCGGGGAGAGCTCATCCAGGAGCTCATGAAGAACCACAAATCCACGTGAGGCCAAACCCTGTCATGGGTCCCCCACCCCTCCCAAGTCCCCATGCCCCAGCCTCTCCCTGGGCCTCAGTTCCACCCAGGTCTCCCGGGCGGGATGCAGTCTCCTCTGCCTGATGTGGGGGCTGGGGCCTTGTGGCCGCTCAGGCTCTCGGTGCTGACCCTGTCCTGCCCACAGGTACGAGCGGCTGGGCGAGGTGGTTGAGCTCCTCTTCCCACCTGTGGCCCGTGGCCCCAGCGCAGACCTGGCCAGCCCTGAATACAGCAACTTCTGCTACTGGCGGGAGCCACTGGTTACTGTGGACCTCGATGCCCTGGCCTGAACCGGCCCCAGCTGCCCCCTCCTCCCTGGCCAGGCCCCAGAGCTGACTGGGTGTTCCCAGGGAATGGGAAGTTGCAAGCTGGCTGCCACGGGGTGGTCCACTGAAGGGGAGGAGGGGGCTGAGGGCTGATTGGCAGCCACAGAGACCCTCCCTCCTCCCTGTCCCCTCTCCTGCCTTCTCCAGCTGATCCGAAGGAGGTGGGGCAGCCGCTCCAGGCCTCAGCAGGGCTCTGCCCTGTAGCAGTGAAATGATGATCACCTGGGCCCTTGCAGGATTCTCTGTGCCCTTGACATCCCTGTCCCTGTCCCCCTGGTACAATGCCTCAACTCCTGACAGCACAGAGAGGAGAGGGAGCCCTGTGAGGCTTGAGACCTGCCCGCACAGGAGAGGGCTGGCAGCAGCAGGGGGGAGTGCTTGAGCAGCATCTGGGCAGCATGGACCAAACCCTCTGAAGCCAGACCCTTCCATAACCCTGGCCCCTTCCCACAGCTCTTGCGCCAGACCTCACTGCTCTCCCTTGTGCCCCAGGATCTCAGCACACCCCAACTCTGGGTGCTCAAACATCAAGGAACAGGGATCCCAGGGCAGTGCAAGGGCGGAGGGAGTGTGGCTCCCCCGGGCCTCGCCCATACCCAGCTGCTTCTCCTGTTCCTCTGAGCACCTCCCCTGAGGACACAGCCCCAAACCCTGCCAGCGCAGGTGGCGGTGACCTGCCCACCCTCCCTAGACCTTGCCGTCAATTCGGCGCCCTCACAGCTGCTGAGCAAGCTCTTGCCTGAGGGGCTGTAGGAAGCGGGGCTGGCAGCCCCCTGCAGCCTTCCAGCCTACCGCCCTTGGGGAAGAAAATACCTTTAGACGGGCTAAAAGCTTTAATCCAGGCCTGCCCTCTCCCAGCAGCACCACAGTGGAGGGAAGAAACCAGAAGGCAGGGCTATAGAGACCTGGAACATAGCACAGGAAGGCCTGTGCTGCTGAGGGGAAACTGAGGCCAGGAGCCTCAGCAGAGATGGGCATCAGGGTCTCTGGGAACTCTGCAGGCCAGATGAACACTGTGTTTTCAGGTTGTCGGACCCGAGTTTCTCACCACTTAGCAAACACCCAGCCGGGGCCGGGGTTGTGCTAGGATGCTGGAAACTAGGCCTGGAGCCCTTTTTCTCCCCTGGCTTCCTGTTCAGAGTCTGACCTCACTTAGGCCATGACATCTACTCTCTGGAGAGATTCCCTAACCTGGGGGGTGGGTGGGCAGGATTTCCCCCCAGATGGAAAGGAGACGAGGGTGTGGGGACCAGAGGCCCTGAAGCATCTTTGGGAAAGAGAAGGGAAAGGATAAATTGAGGTGGGTCTCTGAACAGAAGGTCTGGACCCTGTCCTTCTCTCAGGGAATCTACAGCTGCCTAAGTAAGCCCTCACCTGAGGGGAGGGTCGAAAGAAATAAAAAAAACTCTCAGCTGAGTCTTTGTGTTTCTGCTCTGTCCGAAAGGACAGGGGGAGCTGGAAACCTCTGGTCCTTGGTTCAGAAACTATCCACAAAGCTGCCAGGTGGGAGGACAGTGCCCGTGGCCACCACCTTCCCGCAGACACTGGGCCCTGACGGCTAGGGAGGGAAGTCAAGGAGACAAGAGAACCAGAAGCTTCCACAGGCTGGGGGCTGCTGCCCCAGGACAAGGGGAGGTGTAGACAGGTGACTGGGCCTGTGCGTCTTCATCCAGATGCTGCTCCCTGGTGTGTCTGCAGAAGAGCAATGTGCACGCTGCATTGTGAGGTCACTCAGGCCCGCCCTGGCCTTTAGGCATGATGTCCTTGCCTTGACCATGATCCTGAAGTGTCCAGTTGATACGGCACTGAGTGTTGATTTTCGTGGTCGGGACAGTCCCATGGAGCTGGACCAAGGCTATTCCTTCCGTGGCCTCTGAAGTGGCATCCCCGTTGGCCCGGGGAGGCTGGGAGGCACTGCTGGGTGAGGCTGGGCTCTGGAGTGGCATCCCCAGTGTTGGCGGCATCTGGGGTTTGGTCCCGTCTGGCCCGCCTAGTCGGCTGGCGGGGGCCGCGCCTGCTCGGCCAGCTGGGCCCGGCAGTCCAGGAGGTCATCCCGGAGGCGGGCGATGTCCTGTGCGTGTTGAGCCAGCGTGCGATTCAGCTGGTCCACGTAGCCCCACAGGCCCTCTGTGGGCCTGAGCGACTCAGTGGGCAGGTGGTCCAGGCCAGCAGCCAGTCGGCCCAGCCTCCCACACGCACCCTCCACTTGAGCCACCCTCCGGTCAAAGTGGCCCACCACTTGCTGCAGTTCCTGGGCTGTGTCCTGGCAGCGGCTCAGCCCGCCGGCCACATCGGCCACACCGGCCTTGAGTCGCTCCAGCTCCCCCCTCAGGCCCAGGACCTGCCTGTGGCCAGCCTGAAGCCGAGACCCCTGGCTGCTGACCTGTTCCTGGATGGCGTGAACCTCAGCCTCCACCTTGCGTTCGCGCTCGCCCAGGGATGAGTTGGCAGCCAAGAAGGCATCGGAGTACTGGCTGACGGAGTCGCTGAGGCCCGTGAGTGACTTGCTCACGGAGTTCAGGTTGACCTTGAGCAGGGTGATCTCGCCTTGAAGTGAGCTGCCCGTCGCTTCTGTCAGCTGCTCCTGGACCCCGGCCACAGTGCCATTGAGCTGCTGGAGCAGGGCGGCGTGGCTGGCCACCTGGCGGAGGAGAGCCTCACTCCGGCTCTGCCAGGCCTTCACCTCTGCCGCCAGGTTGTCCAGGACGGCTGAGGTGGTGCTGGGGGTGCATGAGGTCTCCAGGGAGACCAGCCGTTGTTCCAAGACGGCCAGCTCCGTCTGCACCAGGGGCCGGGCCGACCTGCCTGGGGGGGCGCCCTCGTGGCTTAGCTCCCCCGCCAGTGTCACCAGGCGCTCCTCGAGGCTCTGCACTCGCTCTTCCAGCGTGGTCCTGAAGCTGCCGGCCTCCCACCCACCCTCCTCCATCCCCAGGCAGCAGCCCCTCACTCCGCCCTCTGTCCCGTTGAGGGTCTCCAGGCCCTCCAGCAGCCCGTCCACACCCCCGTCCAGCATGGCAGCAGACAGCCGCTCGAGCTCATCCCTGGTGAGGGGGCCATGGCCCCGCTGGGCCTCGGTGACTGCCTGTAGGTTCCTCTCGAGGTTGTCCACGCGGGCGCTGATCAAGGGCAGCCGGCTGCAGCAGCTGCTCCCACCAGCCATGCTCAGGCCCTGCAGCCTGGTCCCGAGCAGGGCCAGCTCCCTGCGCAGGGCCAGCTCCCGGCCATCCAGGCTCTGGTGCAGCCGCTGGCTGGCCGCCTGGCCCTCCTCACACTGCTGCCGCACCTCCTGCACCCGCAGGTCGCAGGTGCTCTGGACGCCTTGCAGCTTCTGCTCGAAGCCATCCAGCAGGCTCCCCCAAAGCCGGTGCAGCCGTCGGTCCACGTACTCGTCCAGCAGCGCCAGCGAGGTGAGCGGAGACGGACGCACCTCCCGCAGCCGCTGCAGGTGAGCCTCGTGGCCGAGGGCCAACCCGTGCACCTCGTCCAGCAGCTGCACCTTGGTCCGCAGCGTGTTGCTCACCTCCGTCACCTTGCTCAAGATCTCGTCAAGGGGAGGGGTGAGTGGCCCTCTAGCTCTGTCTCCGGGCTTCATGAACCCCTCGGAGATGACCCCGAAGCCCACAGGGGCGGCAGGAGCCCTTGGGCTGCCAGTCATCCTGTTGGGGTCCTCATGGCTGGCCACCAGGCCGCTGAGGGTACCATATGCTTGTACCAGGCTCTGGACATCACCCTCCAGGCGTTCCAGCCGCTCACCGAACAGCCCTGGGCCTTTCCTTCCTGGGAAAGAGGAGGAGAGAACCCTAGGGGCATCACTGGCCTGCCTCCCTCCACCTGTCCTGTTGCCAGGCTACCCGGGAGAGTTTCTGTTCTAAGCTGACATTCCCACTGAGCATATAGCTCTCTCAGCTTCGGGAGGAGTCTGTGAGCTTTGCCTCAAGCCCAGCGTGAGATGCACCCTCCCCAGCCCTGCCAGAGCTCAGCCCGCCTGCGTCAGGCCCCTCTCCACCGCCCCCAGGAAACCTGATCACCTGGTAGGGTCTCCATGGGCAGACTCACCATAGGGGCTGGGGGCCGCTCTGCTAGAAGAAGGGGGCCGGGGCCCTGGGCCTAGCTGCCCTGAGGGAATCTGGGGCTCAGGCTCTGGCTGGGCTGGGGTGGCCCCGAGGTCGGTCAGGTGCTCGGGACAGCCTTCTCCAGTGAGGCCAGGGCAGCACCGCCAGGCGAGGTCCGTCACTGTCTTGTAGCCGACCTTGTATCTGGGTCTGAGCACTGTGCGGTACCTGGGCCAGAGAGGGGGAGAGGGCACGGCCCTGTACTTGCGGACTGAGGCTCCTTTCTCCCAGTGGAAGATCTGGATTCTCTGCCCCCCTCCACTCGCCGGCAGAGTTTTTCCTTTTTCTGTGCATAAGGTGACAGAGTGGTGGGGTGGAGGCAGGCCTTGCAGAGGGTCAGAGAAGGGGTAAGGAGCAGGTGCAGGGGAAGCCCTACGCCATCCGGTTTGCTTGGGGAGAACACTAGCAGGGATTTAGCCCCAGTGTCCCCAAGGCCAGTTTGGACCACCTTTAGCTCATGCTGCCATCAGAAATTCCACTCTGGCTTTGGCGGTACCTGGAAGAATCCTGACACAACCTCAGCCCTTCCCTTTGGGTGTGTGAGGGGGTGCTGCCCAGGAACCAGGGTGGGTAGCCCTTCTCAGTGCGCTGGGGCCACCCTTGGCTCCCATCGGTCCCCTTAGTTCTCTCTACCCCTTCCTAGCCTACTCTGGGAACTCAGCTCTGGCCACCCAGGCCGGTGGACGGCACCTCTGATCTGAGCACAGAAGGGAAGGCCCAGCGGTGCAGGGCAGGCCTGGCCAGGCCCGCTCCCTCCCCTGCTCAGCCATGTACCTGTTCACCCACTGACACACTAGAACAAATGGGATTGTTTTCAGACATGCGTTTGAACCTCTCCAAGTACAGACCTGTGCATCACACTTGTGCACCATCCCATATACCCTCTACAGCCCCGTCCGTCTGACCTAAGCCCCGCCATTGGCCTGCCTTCTCCACAGTCACCGCAGCCCTCCCTGGGTCTTCCCAGGACCCCTTTGGCGTCCACTGTTGTCAGTGTGACCCTCTGCCCTCTCTGTTCACTTTCAACCCTCTTTGCCTCTGCTGCTTCTTCCTTGCCTCGTTCTGTGTGTCTTCAGGGAACCCTCCCTTGGCCCCTCCGTGGGCCCTAAACTGAACCTGCCATGTCTCCTCCCTGGCCTTCTCCAGCCAGCCTGCCTGCGAGCTGGGGTAATAGGCTCTTTGGAGTCCAAGGAGTTCCATCCCCTTGTGGTGCTGGCTGTTGCCCTGGGAGAGAAGCAGGCCTGGGGCTTGTGCCCAGCAGTCCTGAGTGGGTGGGATAGGGGTGCACTCACGTGACTGTCCCAGGGCACTTAGGCCCCCATCCACACTGTCGGTACTCGGCCTTCACGTAGCTGTCTGCTCCCTCCTGTAGGACACAGGTCACATTCCTGTGCACCACGTAGGCGCAGAGGGCCCTGCAAGGGAGAAGGGGCGGCATCCTTGGAATATCTGGCCTTGGGAGGAGCCTATACCTGCCTTCCCCATCTGTGGGCCTCCCCAGGGGACCAGATCCCCATCTCTCTTCTGTCCCTTCTCCTTGTTCCTGGGAGACCACACTTCCCATCCTTCCTCCCCTGACTCCTTGGGAAATGGATGCCGCCTTGTTTCCAGGCCCCCACCCCACCCCCCCAACCCTTGGCTCCT